CTCTCTCTCTCTCTCTCTGCCCAGCCTCGCGCGCCGCCGTCCCTCCCGCGCCTTCCTTCACCGTCTCTCTATCGGCTCTCTTCTCTTTCACGGCGTATGAGAACGTCCGGCGACGCAGCTCTGCACTGTATAGAGCGTTGCGCGGCGCGCGGCATGCATTATGGAACGAGCGAGCAACGATTCTGCCGGAAAAATTGCGGACACGCGAGACGGACGCGATCTGCAGCCCGACTATCTTCTCTCCACTTACCCATCCACGTAGAGCAGTGTTTCCCAATTTGTTGTATGGCGACTGAATTCTTTGGGATACGTCATAAAGCTCGTAATTGCGTCGACTTCAAGAGTCGACCAGAAATATTTTTCCTCTTTTCTAATACCGTTTATTGCGACCCTTGTGCGCGTCACATAAATTTTCATCAGTCCATATATATCTGTGCTCAGTTCATATATATTACACACACACACACATATGTTGCAAAGAAATGACATTAAAATGCCAAGCTTTAAGTTTCGATAATTGATGGCTTGCTTTCATTATATATGCTTACGACATTGTTAATTTCTATCTCTCTCGTTTTTGTGTAATAATGCATATTTGATTTTATAGATATCGTGATATCTTTTTTTCTTCATCGGACATCGTCGTATTCAGTTTTCATAAAAAAAGAAGCGATATTAGAGCACTCATACATAATCTACAAGAAGCGATCGAAATAAATAGTAAAAAATAAATAAATAAAATCACGATACGAGACCATAGATTGTTTTTCATTTTTATTTTATTCGGCATTCCGGGAAACGCCATTTGGGAAACACTGACATAAAGATACCTACGTAGATACCGATCTATGCGTTACCCACCTAACCACTCTCAGTCGACCCTCGCGATACTCGTCGTGGAAGATTGCTTTCCTATATCCCGTCCTCCCGGTTACGACTGCTTTCCATTTTGTAAGAAACGTCGGGAGGTCTCTATAATGTAAACGCGATGTGCCCAATGCTACCAATCACGATCGCATAAATATAAGCAGCCCTTTTGTTGCAAAAGCGAACTCCGCGTTTTTTCAAATGAGGACAAGCAAGAATTTATGTCCTTTCTTATAAATTTAAATATCGTGGATGTCATAGAATATTGTAATAATTCAATTTGCCTTTCAAGTTGTTATTATGTTAATTACGTAATAAATCCGCGGTATATTCCGTTAGTAAAATATTTTTTTATAGGAATTGACAAAATATTAATTAAAGTGAAATAAAACTGCTTTAATGATATACAATTTACATAATTATTTCCTTTAAAAAGACATGATTATTTATTAGGTAATTATTCATTTTATTTATTTATCTAGCAATGTGTCATATTGTATAATTATTGTCAAAATTATAAGAGTATTAATTCATCACGTTTCTTTTATATCTTGGCTGTAATAGCTTTATCACAATATTCCTTGACTTCATAAAAAATCTATCTGGTATAACGCGTTATAATCCCGCTGAGAAATTTAATAACGTCAGCATTACACGCTCCCACCGAAATAAAAATGGACAGAGGGAGCATTTGCGGTGTTCCTTTGACGCCTAACATGCAACGAAAAGCCGAGCGCAAAGTAGCTGCTGATAAATCTATGTAGGAGGGGGATAACCGAGGAATAATGGCGAAGCGAAATGAATGTTTCGCGGCATGGCCGGTAAAAATACGGTAAAAAAGCTTGTGCGACGCGACAAGCGGCGCTCTCCCCTTTCTCTGCAGTTGATTCAGTCAGCGCTCGCACGAAAGAGATACGGCGGGAAAGAGAACAGAAAAAAAGAAGATGAAGAAGAAGCGACGCACCTATCCCCCGGCCAACATTAGTAAAGAACCAGGCCAGAAACTGTCAACGGCTGCGTAACGCTGATGAAAGGGTGGATAGCGTGTAATCCCCGTCGCGTCCGGTCTCCGAAGAGGGCCCCGTGTCCCCCAAATGCGCGACTAACGACGTTTTAAATTTAAAAAAAAAAACGTGGTCAAAAATAACACGCTTTGTGGCTTGGCACAGAAATCTCCTGGCCGTTCACGTGGAAATCGCGCGAACTAGATTACGTCCGGCCCGGAGAAACTTTTCTCTCTTTTGGCGTGCCATAAGCGCGTCGGCGGCGTCTCTTTGAATGACGCCTTGTTATTCAAAGAACCATCACCGCCGGCACTCACGTCGCACATGCACACGGTATTAACTCCGAACTATTACGATGGCGTTAGGATCTAACCGCAGCGCGGACAGCTCATGATATATCCGGGGGAAGTTTTGCGGACCTCGCGCGCTATCACGGAATTAAATGGCAAAGTCGAAGCTACGTGATCGTCAGCGTTTCTTTTTATTGAGCTCGGCGAAGATGATACAGATCGCGTTATCTACATCGATCTGCTCTCGAGCGAGATCATCGTAAGAGGTAAGATAATTTTATAATGATAGCTATTAATTTCGTTATTTGTAACATTGGATTTTCTCATTCGTCAGAAAGCCATGATATAATTTCTTCATATGATTTTATGGTTAAAGATAAAATGTGCCCTGTATGAAATTTAAATATATATTAAATGATACATTCATTTTTTGGAAAAGAGAAAGAGAGAGAAAGGAGAAACATATTAAATATAGTCTAATTAGCTGATGCAAACAGCGACCACGTTTATTTTATAGTCGCGCAAATTCTCTTCGTCGCGGTGAAGATGAGCAGCATCAAAATGATGAGCATGTTACACGGGAACCGCATTTTCGCGGAAAAATTACATAAGGCAATCGCTTCCGCGGGCGAGTCCTCGATGTACCGAGTGTCGTGCAAAATGAGAAGAACGCGTAATGACAGGCTGCCGGCTTTAGTGGGCATGATTGATAACTATCCGATGCGCCGATCGAAACGGGAGAGCCATTACTTATCTCCCGAATGACTACCATTAAGCGCGTTCCATCGCCAATGTTGGCGTGCCAGGGCGGCCTTTACAATATTCAAAGAGGGAACTCCACTCGATCAGTAGCACGGAAATAATTATTCTCGATTACTCTCGCTCTCCCTCCTCCCCCCCTCCCCTCTCCCCCCGGCACTTTGCGTACACAAGCGAGACGTTGGCGTGGTTGATTTAAATATCAGTGAGCTTTAATGTGAATGCTCTACGCGGCAACTATTTCCATTTGCAGTTCTTTGTGTGTCTAAAATAGAAATCAACAGTATAAAAACTGTATTCACGTTTTTTTTCTATTAAAATAATAAATTGTGATAAATGATCAATTTCGCATCGGCGGCCTTGTCAAAAGAAGTTACTTAACAGCGAAAATTGAAATTCTTTAATCGATTAATTTTCAAAAGTATAAATTTAATTTTTGAAAGTATCTTTTACGTATTTCAAATAATCTTTAATTCAATAGAAATTTAATTTTCGTTAGTTTATTGAATAATATATAATCAATGTTGAAACTTCAAGAGCTGTGTGAAAACAAAGAATGATGGTTCTTGTACGATTTCTCATCAGGAATACTATACTGGATTGCTATCTTTTTAGACACAATGTATTATAAATCATCATTATTCCAGGTCGTAAATATATTCGCAATCATAATGCGCAAATGCGCATATCTATACTTCAACACAGCCGGGCGAGATGGCCAAAGGAGATTTGCTGGTGACCGCAAGAAATCAGATATTACCCGATACTGTGCAAAAAGACACTCACCTGAAGGTGGACTTGACCGTTGTTATCGACCCATCCGATGACCATGTCAGCTCCCGCGCGGCCATCGTCCTTCGTGAAACCGAGCCCGACGTAGCCGAGGGTCTTCACTTGGATCTCGAATGTAACGTCCTTCTCATCAGGCGTCCAGAGCACCAAGAAATTGTTATCCAGGACAGCGCTGTGCTTCCATTCGACGGAGACGACACCGCTGACGAGCAAGAGGAGAAATGAGCCGACCGCAGTCTTCATCTTTCCGTACGGTGCTGCTCAAAACATCTGAAACAGGAGCGATGCATGCTTGAGGCGACTGTCTTATTTACGGAGGTAATTTATGCTACTTAGAGATGTAATCCGCTTAATGGATAAGAGAACGAGGAATAACGTTCATTCACATAATGTATTCCGCATATTACTATAGGCAAGATATTCCGAAGTTTCTCCAAATACGGAATTTCATACAAAATTAAACGATTACAAATGACGTTCACTGCATCATTAATAATAACACAAGATAAAATTGTGAAATATGATTTATCGTAAAATATGATGATCGTTCGATTAAAAAAAAAAAACTTATTACTCGTTTAAAACTTTTGCGTTGATGATGAAAAATTTAATAAATATCTACTGCAGTATATAATTTTGCACCATTAAATGTTCTCCAGAAATAGCGCGGTAATACAATAAAATGGTAAATGTAGAAAAAACAATGTACCCAGTATGCTTCAGTTGGTTGCATTTTTAAAGACAACAAAACCGTTGAACTTTCAAATGAGAGTAATATTGAACATGCTGTCGATATTTTTCTTCAATGTTGCGACTATCGTATTTCGCGTCACCGTTGTTGCCCATTACTTACGCAACGGACGATTTTCGCTGTGTTTAAATCGCAAATGATCGCTGGTGCATGCCGTGTATGTGTATTTGCGCACGCGCATCTACACACAGCGCTTGCTTTCTCACATAATTCGCACGATAGTCGTACGCATCGTATTTTATCGTCCTTAAGCACTGGTAGCGCAGTGGCTATTTACGCTTGCGCTCCACTTGAAATTGTTTCAACCTCTATACGGTCGACTTCGTTCTTTTTCTACGCAAAATACGGTATATCGCGCCAAACAGAAAATAAGACTGCTTTAAGTGGCTCTCGTACAAAAGTATCAGCTATTTCAAACACTCTACTTTATTTCCTACAGAATAAATTTCTAATTGTGTTTGGTTACATATCTATATATAACCTAAATCTTAATTATTGATAATTAAAGTATAGAAAGAGATCCAGAGATTGCTAAGCGGACTTATATATATATATATAAGTCCGCTTAAAATTCTTCATCTTAAAATTTGAACTTAGTGCGAACTATTTCTGATATATATATATATATATCAGAAATAGTTCGCACTAAGTTCAAATTTTAAGATCACAATATAATGCTATTTCATAATCTAATACAATAATCTTAAACGACATTGTCATGGTTCGACTAATCAGAAACATGAAGCAGTGCAAAACTGATAGTACGAATCTCATTTCAAGAGTGTTCATCAGATATTCAGAACGATCGAAGTAAATCTCATAAATCTTTATGGAGAATTTTTGTGAGCGAAGTGTTGAGAACGTTCAGATTTTTAAAACAAAATTAAAAAGAGGGGCTGTATCAACAATATTACGAGGTCCGACTCGTTTTAGCCGTCAACGCGAAGTAATGCTTATATTCATAGCGTGGAAACATATCCGACGAGTAAACCGTATACTGCCTCGTTTTCCCAAGCAGAAATACTCATAAATAACGATCAACGTCACGATTAATTTATCCTCACGCCGACGCGGTGGTCGCTATTGCATTTTCAAGAATCAGACAGGTCGGGCTTAATGGGCCGCCATTCAACGAAGACGTTATCGCCGATTCCGCGGCAAAAATCGCTATTGACCTCTTTATCGGCGATAACGCGCTTTGTTTCTTCAGGCATAACGACGGACACACGAGGTGGAGCAACGAAGGTTCGAGGGGAAACGCGAGAAAATTAAGTTTCCGGCGGAATGAATCCGCGAACAAAGAGAATTTCTCGTTTTACCGTGCGCGTGTCTCGAAAAAGGGATGGGCCGGATTGAGGTCGGCCGGGATAGCCGCGCTACCGTTTATTTTGCATTTTCAGCAATCAGGCACGTCCCGCGGGAGAGGGGGGGGGAGAGAGAAAAAAGTCAATTTGTACTTGCGGAGTAAGCGCCTCGCGCCGAGCACGGCACGAGTTAAGGGCGAGATTGCTGTAGAGGCAGCAACTGCGCCGAGCGCACAACACACCATCCTCGAGATCGCAGGTGTGACTAAAATACGCACGCCGGAAATTTTTTGTAGTGAAATTTATTCGATTGAAAATATCGGGGAGGAACGCTATATTCGAACGTTTCAATAAATTGGTAAAAATGGGAGATATTGGTGCATTGTTTGCGCGAATTGTGCAATACAGTTTCTGCTAGGCGACTGGTATTACTAATAAATTTTAGAATTGAAATATATTTTAACAATGAATTTATTGGAACTGAAATTGGATGGCAGGTTCGGTGAAAATTTGATAGCGCGCTAGTAAATTGTTACAACGAACGCTCAAAATTATCATCTTCATTTATAATGTAAAACGAAGCAGTCCCGTAATAAAACCGAACAGAATCGAAGTTCACGTGGAATCTGTTTTTCTTCGGGCGTCACCACAAATGCACTGTTAATGTTTGTTACACAGCTTGTAGCTCACTCTGTGCTACAGCGCTTTTTCCATGCTTTTTTTGCGTCGGTGACCGCGAAAGAGCGGAGATGAGCGCGCTGGTGCGCGCTTCATCGAGATCATCGATCAACCGAAGTGCGGTTGATGAAAATACAAAATACCGATCGCGTGCACCTGCGTATCGCGACACGCACGTGCGACCTATGGGGCAAGGATGGGAAAGCGAGGGGGCGGGAGATGGGAGTTGAACCCCCGACCAGGAATCGACCGCGGATCTGCAAACGATCGTTTCAATTAACGGCGACAATGGCGTGGTGCATCGGCCGATGCGCCGCAAATAGTAAGCCAATCCGGCGTATACACGCGCGGAAATCATCGACGAGTTCGACGCCAAACACCGACCGCCGGACTGGTTTAATCCCTCGCGATCGCGCGGTCCAAACTGATGTTTATCGTGGCGGATATTTGTGACGTAATTGTACAAGTTTAACAGAATTGCATTTTGCGCAAACGAATCTATGCTACAAACAATAGGGTTGCTCGATAATAAGTGTGAGAAACATTTTTTTAATCGTAATTTTTTAATCGCTACCGACATATCATGACCAAAACGCGCAATAAGTTAATAAGATATATACCTCGACTAAGTGGATTCAAGGCAATGATCTGTCGCTAACAACGATCATTTTTCCTGACAATTGCATTTGAGAGAGGCAACTTAAAGCAGTAGTGACAATGACAAAATAACGCTCACGATTTTCATAGTTTAAAAAAAGGGCACAACGTTCGGATTAGCGATCATGTGATTTAACAGGGGTCAAGGTACGCGGCATTGCCGACAGCGTGCATCACAATCGGCCCGATTACCCGATTTACGGTACTGGCGCAGTAACCGCGAAATTAAAACCGATCGATTCAATCAGCAATAACGGAATATGCGCGGAATACACGCGTATCAGGAGCGCGACGTTACGCGGAAATAATTGGACGGTTCGGACTTGCATACAAAGGAGAAGCGCCGGCTAATACTGCCGATTAACAAAACCAATGTATCGGCAATCGGATGCGTTACGCGAGCTTACGCGAATTCCAACTAAGCAACATGAATTAAACATTTGATCGAGCCGCCATTATAATGCGCTAATTTTAAGGGCAAATCAGCGAATGCAATGGATGACCTAGTTGGAAATTGTGTTGATTAATTTTTAGGAAGAAAAAGATAGATTTATTTCACGAAAAATTAAATCATATTTATTCGTATTACTATCCACAGTATGAAAAAAAGAATTGCGGGTCTTTTAAGTTAATTTGAGGATACTTGACTTTTTTTTTATTAAATAGTATTATTTATATACCAATCTTGGATAATTATATTATTTTAATGGATATTATAAAATATATTACAAGAGCGCATTATATAATTTAATATTTGTATAATATTATATATTCTTTCTCTCTCTCTCTCTCTCTCTCTCTCTGTCGCACATATATTATATAAAATACTTACAAAAATATTCTAAATGAAAGTTTAAAGTTGAAATGTTATTAAAGACATACAATTGTATGCATAATTTAATTTCCCAAATATTAATTGTTAAATGTTATTAACTTAATTTAAAAAATTGAATTAATATTTATTTTTATTAGAACAGAATTATGGAAAAATTACTTTTCAATAAAAATCTTCACATTGTTTCATTAACCGCGAGTCTAAAAAATGTTGCTACAGAATGGCTCACATTCATTTTTATTACTGAACACCGTAATCTACGGCGTGGCACATTATTGTAGTCCATTATTCTCTAATTAATAATCATAAAGCTCGAATCTATTTAATTTAAAAAACTTAATTAAAATTTGTTTTTATTAGAATAAAGTTGTTCTTAAAATCTGTTTTTTATTGGAATAGCTATAGAATTATAGGAAAAATTGTTTTTCAATAAAAAGTTTCCGTTGTTGCTCCATCAACCGCCAGTTAAAAATGTTGCTGCAGATTGATTCAATGAACTCACGTTCATTTTCACTATAAAGCACCATAAATCTATAGCGTAGTACATTGTCGCCACATAACTTCTCCTCTGTTTAATCCTCTTTGGTTCATCCAATGACTATCCACCGCCGTCGAACGATCGGCCGCTCGAAAACAATCGATGAAATTAACAGTAGCGGCGCGTGCGACGCACGAAACGTCCCGGTCGAGGTGATGCATCGGTCGCAGCAGCTGCCTGAACCGCTCCAGCGCACCGGAGAAATGTCGACTCAAATTGAGAGGACACAACGGAGGCGAATCCGAAAAGGGTGAACGCGGACACCATCCCGGGCGAAAGGGACGTAGCGATGGGAACGAGTGACGCGGCGCAACGCAGCACGGAGAGGATAGAACTACGCGCGGGTACGGTTTGATTTGCGGCGTGTCGTTCAGTCGATTGCTCTCCAATTGCGCCCTGGCACCAGCGGCATCAGCCTGGCACGGTTTTCCCTATACGGGGTGCTCCGCTAAGGTTCGCATCAAATTTAGAAACCGCGTTTTATGACAAACTCGCAACAGATTTTCG